AATGTACTCGTTGTCTGAAGTATGTTCAGTACTGGTAGGATTGTACTCGTTGGCTGAAGTATGTTCAGGACTGGTAGAATTGTACTCGTTGTCTAGAGTATCTTCAGTACTGGTAGTATTGTACTCGTTGTCTGAAGTATGTTCAGTACAGGTAGTATTGTACTCGTTGTCTGAAGTATGTTCAGTACTGGTAGTATTGTACTCATTATCTGAAGTATGTTCAGTACAGGTAGTATTGTACTCGTTGTCTGAAGTATGTTCAGTACAGGTAGTATTGTACTCGTTGTCTGAAGTATGTTCAGTACAGGTAGTATTGTACTCGTTGTCTGAAGTATGTTCAGTACTGGTAGTATTGTACTCGTTGTCTGAAGTATGTTCAGTACTGGAGTATGTTCAGTACTGGTAGCATTGTACTTGTTGGCTGAAGTATGTTCAGTACAGGTAGTATTGTACTCGTTGTCTGAAGTATGTTCAGTACTGGTAGTATTGTACTCGTTATCTGAAGTATGTTCAGTACTGGTAGTATTGTACACGTTATCTGAAGTATGTTCAGTACTGGTAGTATTGTACTCGTTGTCTGAAGTATGTTCAGGACTGGTAGTATTGTACTCGTTGTCTGAAGTATGTTCAGTACAGGTAGTATTGTACTCGTTGTCTGAGAAGTATATTCAGGACTGGTAGTATTGTACTCGTTGTCTGAAGTATGTTCAGTACTGGTAGTATTGTACTCGTTGTCTGAAGTATATTCAGGACTGGTAGTATTGTACTCGTTGTCTGAAGTATGTTCAGTACAGGTAGTATTGTACTTGTTGGCTGAAGTATATTCAGGACTGGTAGTATTGTACTCGTTGTCTGAAGTATGTTCAGTACAGGTAGTATTGTACTCGTTGTCTGAAGTATATTCAGGACTGGTAGTATTGTACTCGTTGTCTGAAGTATGTTCAGTACAGGTAGTATTGTACTCGTTGTCTGAAGTATATTCAGGACTGGTAGTATTGTACTCGTTGTCTGAAGTATGTTCAGTACTGGTAGTATTGTACTCGTTGTCTGAAGTATGTTTAGTACTGGTAGTATTGTACTCGTTGTCTGAAGTATATTCAGGACTGGTAGTATTGTACTCGTTGTCTGAAGTATGTTCAGTACTGGTAGTATTGTACTCGTTGTCTGAAGTATATTCAGGACTGGTAGTATTGTACTCGTTGTCTGAAGTATGTTCAGTACAGGTAGTATTGTACTCGTTGTCTGAAGTATGTTCAGTACTGGTAGTATTGTACTCGTTGTCTGAAGTATGTTCAGTACTGGTAGTATTGTACTCGTTGTCTGAAGTATGTTCAGTACTGGTAGTATTGTACTCGTTGTCTGAGGTATATTCAGGACTGGTAGTATTGTACTCGTTGTCTGAAGTATATTCAGGACTGGTAGTATTGTACTCGTTGTTTGAAGTATGTTCAGTACTGGTAGTATTGTACTCGTTGTCTGAAGTATGTTCAGTACTGGTAGTATTGTACTCGTTGTCTGAAGTATGTTCAGTACTGGTAGTATTGTACTCGTTGTCTGAAGTATATTCAGGACTGGTAGTATTGTACTCGTTGTCTAAAGTATATTCAGGACTGGTAGTATTGTACTCGTTGTCTGAAGTATGTTCAGTACTGGTAGTATTGTACTCGTTGTCTGAAGTATGTTCAGTACTGGTAGTATTGTACTCGTTGTCTGAAGTATGTTCAGTACTGGTAGTATAGTACTCGTTGTCTAAAGTATGTTCAGTACTGGTAGTATTGTACTCGTTGTCTGAAGTATGTTCAGTACTGGTAGTATTGTACTAGTTGTCTGAAGTATGTTCAGTACTGGTAGTATTGTACACTCCCATGTTGTAGTATTGTACTCGTTGTCTGAAGTATGTTCAGTACAGGTAGTATTGTACTCGTTGTCTGAAGTATGTTTAGTACTGGTAGTATTGTTCTAGTTGTCTGAAGTATGTTCAGTACTGGTAGTATTGTACACTCCCATGTTGTAGTATTGTACTCGTTGTCTGAAGTATGTTCAGTACTGGTAGTATTGTACTTGTTGGCTGAAGTATGTTCAGTACTGGTAGTATTGTACTAGTTGTCTGAAGTATGTTCAGTACTGGTAGTATTGTTCTAGTTGTCTGACGTATGTTCAGTACTGGTAGTATTGTACACTCCCATGTTGTAGTATTGTACTCGTTGTCTGAAGTATGTTCAGTACTGGTAGTATTGTACTTGTTGGCTGAAGTATGTTCAGTACTGGTAGTATTGTACTAGTTGTCTGAAGTATGTTCAGTACTGGTAGTATTGTACTCGTTGTCTGAAGTATGTTCAGTACTGGTAGTATTGTACTAGTTGTCTGAAGTATGTTCAGTACTGGTAGTATTGTACTCGTTGTCTGAAGTATGTTCAGTACTGGTAGTATTGTACACTCCCATGTTGTAGTATTGTACTCGTTGTCTGAAGTATGTTCAGTACTGGTAGTATTGTACACTCCCATGTTGTAGTATTGTACTCTAGTGCCCCGAGTAACAACAAGTCAGTTATATCTGTCCTCCTGGAGGAAAGGGAAAAGTACATGCAAGAATATATTATATATATATATATATTTGCTCTGTGTATAATGAACAGTGTAACTATGCCCAAGCTGCGTTCCAGATAATCCTTGTATGATCAAGTGTGAGAACGTGGACGGTTTAGTGAGTGTGTGAGTTTTACGCCGCTTTTAGCAATATTCCAGCAATATCACGGAGGGGACACCAGAAATAGGCTTCACGCATTGTACCCATGTTGGGAATCGAACCCGGGTGTTCGGCGGCACGAGCGAACGTTTTAACCACTAGGCTACCCGACTGCCCCCGGTTGAGTAGAACTGGTATCAGTGAAAGACTCTGGAAGTGTGGAGGTTCATGGACCTGCTGACAAGTTACACTGACGACATCTACTCTGTTCGAAGTCCGGTGAAGCGGGTTGGAACGTTGTGTGCAGGAATGGTTGACTTCGACATATCACGCGTGTGTGCGTGTGCGTGTGTGTGCGTGTGAGGAGGTGTGAGGTGCTAGTCCGGACACATGCTGGGTGTACAATGGTATCACGCCGAGATACAACACCGAGATACAACACCGAGATGCCATCTTTAGCGTCCTCTGAGGTGGAGGAATGACAGTGTGGTGATCAGTTACACCAGTGTTGGACAGTAGCGGCATCTATCATGGACGGAAAGGTAATCCGCGCTATCGTTTACCATTTCTAAGTCAACTTTTGATTTGTTGACAAAGGTCAAGTTCTACTAATGTTGGTTTCTGACTATTTTTCTGGATTTTCGTCAGATTTGTAGAAACTCTCCCTAACGCTGTAAAATCTCCATAGAGGTGTGGGCGAGCATATTGGGAATGACTGAGCAGGGGGTGTTCGGCTGATCCTATTGTCATGAACCTAACACTTCAGAAAGGGCTGACAATCTTAAAAACGAAATTCCAGGTGTTTTTCTTCTCTGTGATGTTACTCAAACAAAGACTAAGCCCATTTCCTCTGAGAATGATTCTAGTATCCAATCACGTGACTGTTGGTGAAGTTGGCTACAGATCAGCCGTTAAATTAAAGTTAAAAAATGCAAAATATGGGATTTTATGAATGCTGTAAAATTTCAACTTGATGCTAGTGACAATTGGTGCTGGAGCTGCCCTGCTGCAAGAACTTGCACCCTGTCTTTAATCATCCGGTTTGATATTTTTCAAGGAAATTTGACAAACATCAGAGAAAATACTCCATATTTGAAAAAAAACCTCTTGCTTTGCTGTTAGCTCTGCAACAATTTGAAATGTACCGATTTACTTCTTTCTCCTGAAAGTGTTCACTGATCACTGAGTTTTCTTCATAAAATGAAAACAAACACCAACGAACTAATGATTTCTTTTCAGGAAAGTATTTTTGGCATCTGGAAAACATTTTTGCTGATGTATTATCAAGAGTTGGATGAGGTTCATCAGCTTGTTCTGCAAACATGATCTCCATGTGTAGAATCATCATAGGTACTAAGTAGTATTTATTTAGCGCAGGTTTTTACTCAGCAAAGAAGCTCTGGCTGTGTTCACACTGTCTGTCTCCGATGGAGGTGAGTGTTACATCTGAGTGAAATGTTCTATGTTGTTTCTCTTCAACAGTCTCCTCCTACGACAAGCATTGGTCTTCAGTAACCCATGTTTGTCGTAAGAGGCGATTTACGGGATCGGGTGGTCGGGCTCTCTAACTTGGTTGACACATGTCATCGTATCCCAGTTGCGTAGATCGATGCTCATGATGATGATGATTTTAAGGGGGGAGTGGCCGGGTGTCTTATCATTCACGAACAGTACGACAAGGGTTTGCGACTTCATGGACGAGGAGGTAGTTACAGGTGACGCTGGTATCAGACATTGTGTGCTGCTTGTCGCAGTAGATCCCTGCATGTATAGCCTCCGTCCGGCACAGGAATCTGATGACCAATTCAGATTGGGGATTTTACAGCTGCTTCGCATTCATCGATGACAGGTCGACGCATGTGACTCTCGACTTTTTTTGTAATTTGTTTCATTTGTGAATGTTCCACTCACGACATAACCCCAATGTATTCATGCATAAACATGTCGTTGTTGGTTGTAGCAGACGTACAAACATTACTCACGTCCTGGTCTCTCACGCACGGTTTGCAAGTCAGCTGGCGCCCTGTAACCGACATAAACCCAGACCAGGACACGCAGCCACAAATACAGACCCATACATACGCACACACACGCGCGCGTGGCTACATGTGCATCTATCAGTATCTGAATGTGAGATCAAACCTCATTTCTCCACTTTACATATTTTTTCCTCTTAACCTGCAGTTTAAAATGATTGGTCAACACAAGACACAGTTCAATAATTTTATACAAACATATCACAAAGGAAGTTCAGATCTGTACAAAAATAGCACTCACTGGGGTGGTCCTACAGAGGTAGACGTCATCACGACAGCTCCACAATGTCAAAGTCAAAGTCACATCATGGCGACAGCTCGAAATATATTGACATTTAGTGTATGTTCAACGTCGCTGCTTCAGCTGCAGGTATTTGTAGGAAGCACTATATCATTGTCACACACACACCTACACAAACGTATCCCCATTCGACTGTTTGTTACAAGACACCACGTTCTGAACATACTCGGGACGGGGTGTGTTCTGGATCGTGTACACCTTGTCCTTGTGACTGGAGCCGTGACGTAACTTCCGCCTAGCCTCGCGTCGCTGTTCGGTAACACTGGGATACAGTCGGTCATTGGCTAGTGTGGCGAGGCTCTCGGCAGACCCATAGTGTCTGTGTTTCCTGCAGGCAGGGTCAAGGTTAAACACGGAACACGAAGAAGGGAGATAACTGGAGACGTATGAATACGTGTCCCCATTGTCGTCCAGATTGTAGGACTTGGCTATAGATCCCGCGAGTTCGTGCCTGGATCTCACCGAGTCGTATATCCACGACCGGCGCTTCCCGAGCTGGTCGAGATCTTTGGACAAAGAGTCCCTCAAGTTAGCACTGATGGTATTGGCCTGAGAGATGTCCTCCACCAGCGAGTTCTTCAGCTGGTACAATTTGCTGAGGCTCGCCACGCTTCCCGCTGAACTGTGGCCGCTGGAGATGTGGCTTCTGTAGTGGATGTCGGGGGAGGGGTGATGATGTATGGGGTAGTAGCTGTCGCCGTGGATGGACGATATGTCCTCGTCATGTGGAGTCATCGTGGAGTCCTCTTCCTGACCAGAAGAGGACAGATCAATGTCAAGGCCGCTGTCCTGCTTGACCTGTTCCTCTGTGATCTGCAGGAGCTTGTCCCGGGCGCTGGTCAGGTGCTGCTGTAGCTCCTTGATCGTGGTGTCCTTCTGTAAACAACACAACAACACTTCCGGTAAACAACAACAACACTTCCGGTAAACAACAACAACACTTCCGGTAAACAACAACAACACTTCCGGTAAACAACAACAACAACACTTCCGGTAAACAACAACAACACTTCCGATAAACAACAACAACACTTCCGGTAAACAACAACAACACTTCCGGTAAACAACAACAACAGTTACGTTACACAACAAGGACTGATCTGGTTAGGAAACCCATCATTAATGTTGCAGTGACATACAGAACAAGTCGACCTGGACAAAAGCACAGAAGGGCAAACAGCATACGCTGCCAGGATTTACTGTGAAAGTTGTGTCCCTTAGGAAGGGGAGGATCCGTTGGTTGAATCATACTAACATGATGTGCATCATGTCTCATCTCAACTTTATATCGCCGTGATAGTTAATATACATGTATCTCGTATGTTGATAGTTGATATAACTTATATCGCCGTGATAGTTAATATACATGTATCTCGTATGTTGATAGTTGATATAACTTATATCGCCGTGATAGTTAATATACATGTATCTCGTATGTTGATAGTTGATATAACTTATATCGCCGTGATAGTTAATATACATGTATCTCGTATGTTGATAGTTGATATAACTTATATCGCCGTGATAGTTAATATACATGTATCTCGTATGTTGATAGTTGATATAACTTATATCGCCGTGATAGTTAATATACATGTATCTCGTATGTTGATAGTTGATATAACTTATATCGCCGTGATAGTTAATATACATGTATCTTGTATGTTGATAGTTGATATAACTTATATCGCCGTGATAGTTAATATACATGTATCTCGTATGTTGATAGTTGATATAACTTATATCGCCGTGATAGTTAATATACATGTATCTTGTATGTTGCTAGTTGATATAACTTATATCGCCGTGATAGTTAATATACATGTATCTTGTATGTTGCTAGTTGATATAACTTATATCGCCGTGATAGTTAATATACATGTATCTTGTATGTTGATAGTTGATATAACTTATATCGCCGTGATAGTTAATATACATGTATCTTGTATGTTGATAGTTGATATAACTTATATCGCCGTGATAGTTAATATACATGTATCTTGTATGTTGATAGTTGATATAACTTATATCGCCGTGATAGTTAATATACATGTATCTTGTATGTTGCTAGTTGATATAACTTATATCGCCGTGATAGTTAATATACATGTATCTTGTATGTTGCTAGTTGATATAACTTATATCGCCGTGATAGTTAATATACATGTATCTTGTATGTTGATAGTTGATATAACTTATATCGCCGTGATAGTTAATATACATGTATCTTGTATGTTGATAGTTGATATAACTTATATCGCCGTGATAGTTAATATACATGTATCTCGTATGTTGATAGTTGATATAACTTATATCGCCGTGATAGTTAATATACATGTATCTTGTATGTTGATAGTTGATATAACTTATATCGCCGTGATAGTTAATATACATGTATCTTGTATGTTGATAGTTGATATAACTTATATCGCCGTGATAGTTAATATACATGTATCTTGTATGTTGATAGTTGATATAACTTATATCGCCGTGATAGTTAATATACATGTATCTTGTATGTTGATAGTTGATATAACTTATATCGCCGTGATAGTTAATATACATGTATCTTGTATGTTGCTAGTTGATATAACTTATATCGCCGTGATAGTTAATATACATGTATCTTGTATGTTGCTAGTTGATATAACTTATATCGCCGTGATAGTTAATATACATGTATCTTGTATGTTGCTAGTTGATATAACTTATATCGCCGTGATAGTTAATATACATGTATCTTGTATGTTGATAGTTGATATAACTTATATCGCCGTGATAGTTAATATACATGTATCTCGTATGTTGATAGTTGATATAACTTATATCGCCGTGATAGTTAATATACATGTATCTTGTATGTTGATAGTTGATATAACTTATATCGCCGTGATAGTTAATATACATGTATCTTGTATGTTGATAGTTGATATAACTTATATCGCCGTGATAGTTAATATACATGTATCTTGTATGTTGATAGTTGATATAACTTATATCGCCGTGATAGTTAATATACATGTATCTTGTATGTTGATAGTTGATATAACTTATATCGCCGTGATAGTTAATATACATGTATCTTGTATGTTGATAGTTGATATAACTTATATCGCCGTGATAGTTAATATACATGTATCTTGTATGTTGATAGTTGATATAACTTATATCGCCGTGATAGTTAATATACATTTATCTTGTATGTTGATAGTTGATATAACTTATATCGCCGTGATCTTGTATGTTGCTAGTTGATATAACTTATATCGCCGTGATAGTTAATATACATGTATCTTGTATGTTGATAGTTGATATAACTTATATCGCTGTGGTAGTTGTTGGTGTAACTGACTAATATCGGCAGCACGTACCTCCTGCAGCGATTTCTTTAGAGTGAGGTTCTCTGTGACCACGTGATATAGCTCCTCCTCCAGCTGTTCAAACGACTGCAGCCCGTTGTTCAGTTTGTGGTCTGACTTGAGGCTCACCCGGAAGTTGCTGTTGTCCGGGTTTTTCCACCACAGAATCACCTGAAATATTTGGAATCAGATCAGTAAATGGATACACCACTCGATTTGTTTATGGCTTTGGGTGAGTATTATTTGCAGTTGGCATGTAAACAATCGGTTGTAGCCCAGCTACATACATGACAAGTTACCTTGGGAACGAACACAGAGCACATCGCCATCATGTTGCTCAACCAGATGGAGAAAATGACGCATGCGTAGACAGCATTGGGCCAGGCTTGGAGCATCATTGCAACCGACGTGGCAAAGGTTGCCATGGTAACAGTGGTGAGAGCCGTCATGATGATGGAACGTGCGTCGTTCATGGAGGGGAGCATGATGTTGCGAGTCTGCCAGGAGAGGTACAAGCCGTACAGGAGCAGGATGGTTTTGAACGTGAAGATTCCCGCCATCCACATGTCCGAGTTGTCCGAACTGCACGACCGTACGTGCACAATGTCACTTCCGGTGATCTCCAGACTTCCGCCTTGGATCGACTGGAAACAGACACATTCCTTCACACACTAGATCCTGGAAACATCATCATCGTGTATTATCAGTCGTGGTGGCAAATGGGGTAAAGTGGTATTTACATGAATGATATCTTTTATCAAATTGAGAACTGCCGACATCAGTAGAAATGATGAAATTGAGAGCTATTTTTACATAATGGCTTTTAGCGTAACTTGGTCCACTGTAATATTTCAGTGCAGACTAGATGGTAAATACCCTCTGTATACCCATCACTTGATTGTTGGCGGTAGACAGTATCGGCCATGCCACCTTTACACCTCCCTACCCCCACCATCTCCCAACAGGCGGTTGTGCCCTCCCTTCACGCCCTACACCCACGCCCCACTCCCCAAGTGTACACGTGGTGGTACATACATGCTTGAACATGACCGACGTCCGATACTGCAGGGGGTCGATACCTTGCCACACGGCCACCAAGGTCACGTCCAGCAGGAGCAGACAACTCGTCATCACAAACAGCTTCTTGTCTCTGATGACCTGAAACAACAGAAGGTATCAATTAGCAATACGCGGTCGTTATGTCACGAGTGTTGAGTAATTCCAGTTATCACACCTCTTCCAGTGTTATAGTGAATGTGTAATGTTTGGCTATGGGTGTTGCTATGGGAGACTCACCACGCGCCTGGTGGCTGCCTGCTGGAAGATGCGGTGAACTCGCCACGCCTTAGCAAACATGGGCCCGAACACCAGGCTGGTCGACAGCAGCAGGATACCGCTACGGATCTAAACAATAAACACCGTCAACATTTGCACAAGTATAATAATTGTACAAATAATGCGAACAGACCCTCCACTGGATGATTTCAAGGGATTGTCAATACTCTTGGCAATACGAAAGCACACATTCAATGTGTGATCCAATTACCAACATATGGCAGACTCGAGACACGGTAGACACAGATCGAGGATAACACGTGCAACTCACCTGGCAGACTCGAGACACGGTAGACACAGATCGAGGATAACACGTGCAACTCACCTGGCAGACTCGAGACACGGAAGACACAGATCGAGGATAACACGTGCAACTCACCTGGCAGACTCGAGACACGATAGACACGGATCGAGGATAACACGTGCAACTCACCTGGCAGACTCGAGACACGGTAGACACAGGTTGAGGATAACACGTGCAACTCACCTGGCAGACTCGATACACGGTAGACACAGATCGAGGATAACACGTGCAACTCACCTGGCAGACTCGAGACACGGTAGACACAGATCGAGGATAACACGTGCAACTCACCTTGCAGACTCGAGACACGGTAGACACAGATCGAGGATAACACGTGCAACTCACCTGGCCGACTCGAGACACGGTAGACACAGGTTGAGGATAACACGTGCAACTCACCTGGCAGACTCGAGACCCGGAAGACACAGATCGAGGATAACAGGTGCAACTCACCTGGCAGACTCGAGACACGGTAGACACAGATCGAGGATAACACGTACACCTCACCTGGCAGACTCGAGACACGGTAGACACAGATCGAGGATAACACGTGTAACTCACCTGACAGACGCGAGACACGGTAGACACGGATCGAGGATAACACGTGCACCTCACCTGGCAGACTCGAGACACGGTAGACACGGATCGAGGATAACACGTGCAACTCACCTGGGAGACTCGAGACACGGCAGACACGGATCGAGGATAACACGTGTAACTCACCTGGCAGACTCGAGACACGGCAGACACAGGTCGAGGATAACACGTGTAACTCACCTGGCAGACTCTGGAGACGGCGGAGATGTTCTCAGCGAGGAAGAAGTCGAGGCCGAACAACACACAGGTGATGCTGATGAAGATGCCGCCGAGGGCGATGAGGACGTTAAGGTTTGGACTTGACATCTTGATGATCCTGCACAAACAACATGTCAGACATCGTCACTGCCAGCCAGATATCAAATATCCTCCACAAGCGTTCGTTTAACTGACTGACTGACTGAGTTTGGTTTTACGCCGCTTTTAGCAATATTCCAGCAACATCACGGCGGGGGACACCAGAAATGGGATTCACACATTGTGCCCATGTGGGCGTTCGTTTAAAGGAATGCATGTTTCCCTGATCTGAAACATATAACTGATCGAGTCTCTAGAATGTACACCTGGTTAAGATAAATATCTCGGACGCCACGTAGGGTTATGAACCCATACTTGTGGTTTGGGTGGTCCGATTACGTGCCATGGTCTTCCTGCTATCGACCACTAGTTTCCTGACTTCATTATTTACATGCTGTAGTAATGTCGCGGCGTCCAACAATATTTCTTCATTCTCACCTGGCATGTCTCATTCGGATGTTGAAGGTGAGGAAGGCGACGGAGATGGCCAGGCTCGTCAGCCCCAGCACCCACGCCTCGGCGACCACGCCCACCGACAGTCCCCGTGACTCCATCATGTCAGCGGTAGGGAGAACGACCTGGAAATTATACACATGGGAATGAATAGATCGCACATGATCGCACAGGGAATAACCTCTGAAGGAACGTCTGACTGACATCGACAACAGCAGTAAGGGCGATTGACATCGACAACAGCAGTAAGGGTGACTGACATCGACAACAGCAGTAAGGGTGACTGACATCGACAACAGCAGTAAGGGTGACTGACATCGACAACAGCAGTAAGGGTATCTGACATCGACAACAGCAGTAAGGGCGATTGACATCGACAACAGCAGTAAGGGTGATAGACATCGACAACAGCAGTAAGGGTGACTGACATCGACAACAGCAGTAAGGGTGACTGACATCGACAACAGAAGTAAGGGTGATAGACATCGACAACAGCAGTAAGGGTGATAGACATCGACAACAGCAGTAAGGGTGATAGACATCGACAACAGCAGTAAGGGTGATAGACATTGACAACAACAGTAACGGTGATTTATATTGACAACAGCAGTAAGGGTGATAGACACCGACAACAGCAACAAGGGTGACAGATATCGACAACAGCAGTAAGGAGGATTAACATCGACAACAGCAGTAAAGGTGATTTACATTGACAACAGCAGTAAGGGTGATAGACATCGACAACAGCAGTAAAGGTAATTTACATCGACAACAGCAGTAAGGGTGATTGACGTCGACGATGTTCAGCAGCAAGGGTGATAGACATCGACAACAGCAGTAAGGGTCAGTGACACTGACAATAGTGATACACACTAGGCCCGTTTGTATAGCTAGAGGGCATGTCAGTGATCAGGAACTTGTCGATAACACAAATGAGCATCTGACCTGGGGTCAGATATTACTCAATGTCCATTATGATTCATATACAACATGACTAACGAATACCGTGGTCGGGCATTATACAGACATGTCAGTGACCCGTACTCTCAGTGCTGATGTCGCCCATGCGTGGAGTGATGTTACTACATCATAATTAGCAGCATGTATATTAATATTAGTAACACGGTTCGTGGTCACGTGATACACAGTGCCAAGTGCAGTGTTGTTTGTTTGTTTGACGCCACGATAACATTCCGGCTATATGACGGTGGTTTGTTAATAACCGAGACAATCCAGTGACAGACATCATGAGCATCATGACATCATCCACCAAGTCAGCGAGTCTAACCAACGAACCTGTTTTGTTGTGGAAGACAACATTGTAACCCGGATGTTCACGGGGTGCAGTGTTACTTGGACCAGAGGTGATTGGTTCTGTGTTGAGGTCAACAAGTGGCCAGTGCATGGTCAGTGTCAGATCTGTAGTTGTGACAACAATGCTATCTTGCCGACTCTTGCATGTCTACATGCCAATAGAGAAACAACAGACAGACATATTTCTAGGGTTTGTCAAAATTATAACCACATTTCATACTTCAACAAACAACTATCTAACACTAACACGCCCGTCCCCCCAGGACGCCCTGACCGACTGGACAGTACAGGCACCAGGCACACACTGCAAACACTCAACCCATTAGGCTACCCCATTGGCAGGCAAACACTGAGTGAGTGAGTGAGGTTTTACGCCACTTTTATCCAGCAATATCAGCACATGCTGAGTTTCTTTAGGCTCCTTCCATATCTGTTGCCTCAAAAATAAAGATCCCGCAATAATATCTATAAACTCTTGGGAAGGGTATTAATGAGTGCTGGCTGATTTACAGCTTCTGTGTAACCCACTACAGCTGAACACACCATGGTGTACGACAACACTGAAGGAAGCGGTAATGTATGCACCGTCTCATGGTCTATTGTGCTGAAAGAGATATGTAAAGTTAGTGACCCTAGACTATCAAATCTGCAACGGTTAATAAGATGCCTCTACCTGAAGAGCGTTACTCCTCTTCGGCCGACAGGTAACCTCGGACACACCGTTCACACCGTTTGACGTGACCAGTGGCCGAGCTACTAGATATAACCTTGAAGTAATTGACCGCTCAAACAATCGCAGTTTAATCCAAGTAAAGGCTGGCGACTAACAATACACGCGGAAGATGGTGGAGAGCGCCGGAGGCTGGGACTGGGATGCTTAAGGCTGTAATTTTCACTGTCAGCACAGAAATCCGCCTAATCGTAATGAGTGTCTTCTGTTATATTTCTGCCAATATTTGTCAGTGGTGTCAGATGTTGTATGGCGGTGAAGGTCACATCAAAGCGAGGCTAAGATGGCGGTGTATGTGTAATACGTCTGAGGTGTTAAGGGAGGAGAGGTCTGCTAATACTTATGTCCCATGGCGGGTATTGTTTAAACAAATATAAACTAATCCCCCAGTTCCTTCAAATACTCATCTTACCTGTCATTTAATCACGTGGCTGTTGTGTTACTGTACACTCGATCTGATGACGCTCGGCCTGCTGATCTGATGACGCTCGGCCTGCTGATCTGATGTGTCAGAATAAAGTCGGTCTAGCCAACTGAACAACTTACAAAAGTCTGTAATCATGCCTTCATTTAATAGTTAATGTTGCCTGTAACAAATGATTTTTGAAAAACAAGCGAGGTGTTATGCATGCTTGTTAAATGCGTTATTGTCATAGAGTAAGTTTGTCAAGGACAGTTACGTCTATCACGAGAAGCTCAGCGATTGGTCCAGAACGTGTGTAGTGTACCGTTGCGAGTATTTGAAATATAAGTGGTTGGTTTATTTGCTGTTTAACGCCGCTCTCAGCGATAGTCCAGCCATATGGCGGTAGTCAGGCTAGTGATCAACAGCATGAGCATCGATCTACGCAATTGGACCGGTAATTGGACTTGCGTACCGGTGAATAGATAAATGAACTGAGGTATATTGAAAGGTTCTATTTCAGGACATGAACTTAACAACTTGCAGCCATTCTTTTCGTTTCTCATATTACAGATCAAATACAAATAACACACACTAACATTTAAACTTTATTATATTTTAAAATTAATGGAAAATGGCAACATACTCAATTGAGTTTGAATCAGGTGAGTACAATTTATTTGGTTACTCAAAGCAAAATCAGGATACCCAATTGAGATGAACACAAGCGACATATTATATTTGGGATAACACTTTCACGGAAGCTGGAAGCCGCGGTGGCTGAGCGGTCTAGGCGTCTGGCGATTAGGTGCCTGACTCTGAGGGTGTGGGTTCGAATCCGGATGGGAGGGACTCAACCCAAAAATGTACTAGAATCTGTACTTTACTGAGAAAGTGTAATCCCAAATATAACATGTTACATTTGACCACTTTCTAAAATGGCATTGTGTATTTCAGAACACAAGCGAGTACATAACTCAATGACCCTAAACGTCATCAGTAGGTTTGCAGGTGTACTCATAGACATAAGGTTGGAAATACTACATCGGGTTTATTTAACTTGACACCGATCATGAACAATCCTGTTTTGAAGACACTAAATACTCTTTAATGTGAATTGGTCGGTGATGAAACTAAATTCCTTGCAAAGTGAAATGATGTTGCACATGTTGCTACAGAGGATGTTGTCGGTGTTGTGGATGATCAGGCTGCAGACAACGATGTTTCAGTAGAGTGTGTTGTTGCAGTAGTACTGACTGTGATGTTTACATCCGACAACACTTAGCCTGGCCCTGTGAAGGTCAGTTAGGTTTTCATCAGAGTGGTCTCAGTTGACCGAAACTTTCAACACTTTACATTCCTCGTATTTTCTACAAAACTAGCTGATGCCCTTCACTTACCGCCTATTGTTGTGTGGTGATTAACGTGGTTGTAGACAAACAATGGCCCTGCTCGCCAACAAACTAATGTTGTCTTTCTATGTTTGCCAACTCGACTAGTCCCCCTGAACACCGAGGATGAGCAGAGACGCCACACAGCCCAATGATATCATCCTGTCTCTCACATGGAATCCGGGGATTTGCCTTGAGATCGTCAGTTTAGGACGCGGGGTAAATACGTCATGCTGAGAGAATGTTTGTAATGAGGGTCAAGGTCGTTACCACTGAGACGTGAGTTGTTGTATCTGATTAGATTTATTAGATGATGTTTGTTTGGAAGACTAGGAGAATGTGTGAGCATGTGCTGGGTGCAGTTTGTTTGTTTGTATTACGCTGCATCCGACAATACTCCAGCCTTATAACGACTGTCTGTAACTAGTCGAGACTGCATCAGATAATGCAGTAATTGCAATCATGAGCATCGATCTACACAAATAAGCAGCGCCCTGAATGAACGAAGTTAGCGAGTATGACCACCGGATCTAAACATCATTCAGCTTACAACAAGCGTAAAAAACACTTATCAATAATTGAGAATAATGAATATACTGGTCGTCACAGCTTTCCTTTTATGTTACCATAGTTACCGAAGCGTTGTCGGGGACGGTACCAGTCGTACCATTATGACGTCGCCTGTGACGGGCACGAGTTGTGTGTAGAATCAAGGAGTCTAACATGGCGATATTTAAACCACATATTTACCAGGGCAGGTTTGGTCTGTGAGTCCACTGTTCCCCACACACAGAATGTTGGACGGTGTGACTCAACACGGAATGTCCAGAACACCATGAAGTACACTGAGGGAACTTATTAACCCAGAGACCAGAGCCAGTAGAATAAAGTCCCACGTCATGAACGTATATATGAATCTACTGAAAATAACAAAGTACCAAGTAGCGACAGGCATATATGAGACGTGCTTATAGAACAAAGTACCAACTATATTCATAGAACAAAGTACCAAGTAAGACAAGTATATATGTGACTATAGAACAAAGTACCAACTAAGTTCACAGAACAAAGTACCAAGTAAGACAAGTATATCTGAGACTATAGAACAAAGTACCAACCATGTTCATAGAACAAAGTAACAAGTAAGACAAGTATATCTGATACTATAGAACAAAGTACCAACTACAATGTATGTTCATAGAACAAAGTACCAAGTAAGACAAGTATATATGTGACTATAGAACAAAGTACCAAGTAAGACAAGTATATC